GGAACACATATGTTATATAAGAAATGCCCATACAAAACAATAATGATATTTTGATAGTGCACTTCTCACTGACTGTACTGTATGTATTGTATTGTTGTATTACTGTATCATTTTGTTACACTGTGCTGTGTTGACTGTGTTAAGCTGCTGGTGCACTGCAATTTCCCTCACGGGATCAATCAAGTATCTATGTGTTCTAAGCATCCCCCACATGGAAGTTATATAATTTCAAATACATTTACAAAGACATTAGATTAAAAATTACATTACACTTGGGGAAAAAAATGCATGTGTGTCTTCTAGTTAATTTACCTGACTGGTCTTCTCCACAGTGCTGCTGGGAACTTCTACTGTGTCCTTCACAAAAAAGTTCTCCATTACATCGATCTCAACACACTCCTGCTGGCATACTGGGCACCGTATAACACCAACTGAAACATCAAAGGAAAAAAAAAAGCTCAGATAACGACATGAACATTGGGTTCAATTTCCCGGCAGAAAAATGCACTTCACTTCGGTTCGTATACATCTTAACTCCATGAGGAATTTTGAGTGTGATTTATGGCATGAACCCACAGCATATACTGGGGCTAAAGGCTAAAATTGATTTTTTTGCAGCCCAAGTTCTTTATTTAGATATTTAACTCATTGAATTTTTATATTAGGACTCTTAAATTGTATTCTATGACACCTGGGATTTATATTCCAGGCTGCTGATGCATATACATGCATATACAGCTTCTATCAAGACTGTCACTATAACAAGCTTCCATTGGGGAAAGTGAAAGGCAGCAGGATTCCTTTCAAATCAGGAAACGCCGTTTTTCACACCTCCCCTGAAATGTGCATCCTCAACGGTCTGATCACTGTTCCCCTTTATCCAAACTTCCAGGTTCTCCCACCTTTTCTTCCCTATGCTTTCTCCTCGCCACCTCTTTTCCAATTCAATTCAAGGTGCTTTATTGGCGTGACCAGTGTTGCCAAACCAAAACAAATACAATTAACATACAACAAAAATCTACAGACATTTACAATAAAGACACAATCGTAAAATATTAACATATGGAGCATTACTGGGAGACAGGCTCACTGTTCCTCAGGCTGTGACAGGAGGTCACATACTGGGCTGCCAGTTCAACTGAGTTCTCTCCCAGTAGGATTGGGACTTGTTATGATTCTGGCTGGTGTGGGAATTCCGGGATTAGATTTGAAAATTTAGGGATGAATGTTTGTATAATCTCAGAATATCTGTCACAGTGCAGGAGGAAGTGCACCTCTGTCTCCATTTCTCTCCGCTGGCAGTGGGAGCTCAGCCTGTCCTCTCTGGACAGCCTGGTCTGCCTTTGTCGCCCCGTTTCTATGGTCAGGCTGCGGTCACTGAGCCTGTACTTCGTGAGGGTCTGTTTGTTTTTGCTGTTACTTACGTTACATTTTTAATTTTCCCCTCTTTCCCTCTCTTATTCCTGTTCTCCCAACCGCCCAAAGCAGAAATGTAAAAGGCATTTCAGAGATCCTATGAAGGTGCCAAATGTCACACCTCCCCAATCTGTGTGCTACAAGTTTTGAAAAAAAGGCCATGTAAACTGAAGCCCTTTATCTTGGTAATGGGGCATCTCCATGGCTGTAAACAGCTGCAGGATGGACTGAGGTATCCGCATAGCTGCAGGGATACTCAGCTCGAGAACAGCTTCCATTTAAATTGAACCCACTTGAGATCAGAAGGCTGGACGACTGCTCAAGCGGGGAATTTCCAAAGACGACCAGACGTCATCTGCATTTAAAAGCGAAATAATTTGAGAAGAGAAAAAAAAATCAAGAGGACAAAGGAACGAGTAAAGGTTTACTCCGTGCTGAAAAGAGAAGAAAGGAAACAACGTCTCGTCTGTGGAGTCTTCTTCGGGTGTGAGAAAGACAGGGGAGTCAGCAGAGATGATATAACATAGGAGAACAGAAGCTGGGAGTGAAGAGGAGGCGGGAGCAGGGGGAAAGGCAGAGTGGACACTCAGGTGGTGTGAAGTCGAGAGAGGTGAAGAGAGGTGTGAAGTCGAAACCTGCAAATGAATAGAGAAGATTTGAAGGAAAGGAGTCTGTCGTTGAGAGGAGGGGGGCGGTGTGAATCTAGTTTCAGGATACTTTTGGTTTTGGGTGTCTTTCTGCAATAGGAGTTAAGAGACCCTTCTTTGAGAACGCAGACATAGGATAGATCGGTGTGAATATGGCTGTTAGAGGTGAAATGGAGAAATCTTTTATCCTAACAGCCCTAGCGGGTTCTCTGAATCAGTCTCCAAGTCTCCTTCCTGCTTCCCCAATGTAGATAGCAACACTCCCGGCTTCTGTTCACCCATGCTATATATCAGCTGCTGACTTCCCTGTCTCATACC